GTGTGTGTGTGTGTGTGTGTGTGTGTGTGTGTGTGTGTGTGTGTACTGTCTTCAGATATTGGATACTCTTTAGTTTTACTTAGAGGTATCTGTTGGGGGGCTTAAGTAATCCATCCATAGTCCAGGACCATGGGGAGGGACGCTTCCCTTTGCTTACTCTAGCCCTGAGAATTTCTGCAGAAGGTCCAGAGGAGATATGGGCTCATGCAAAGCATTGAGATTTGCTTTCTGCCATTCCCTGTTCTACAGCAGCTTCCAAACTGTTCTCTACTCAGATGCCACAGGAGGTGGGAACTTTGAAGCAGCTCCATCCCAGGCATCTCTGGGGGTGGTTCAACCTAAAAGTTAGCAGCATCGGGGGATTGTTTCCTCTGTAACAATCCCCTGTTCCTGGCAGGGAAAGTGCTTTGGCCAAGGTTAGCAGAGCTGGCAAGGTATCTAAGGCTGACCAAGCGGAGGGTCTCCTCCTTCCAGCAGCTAAGCTCACAGCAGTCAGTAGTTTGGGGTTGTCACAATACCTGAAAAAGAGACATCATATTCCATTTTAGTAAAGCAGGTGCTTGTTCTCCAACTTTGCCTTTTATTTGAACCTCAAAGCAAATCACAGTGAACTGGGCATACTTTACATCTGACTGGCCTTTTAAAATCCCAAACCCATCTCCCAGCAAAGTCAGGGTCCCTGCCTACCCAGGAAGTCTTCCCTTACCATCCTGCCAATTCCACGCATGCCTGCATCACTCCCCTTAGTAAACTGCTCAACAAGGTAATGAAATGCTGGAGTTACCAAAATCAGTCGGACCCTTACAGATTCCTTGCTCATTTTCTTATCTGACCTGTCAGTGCTCCGTTCTTACTTGCTCATTTTCTTATCTGACCTGTCAGTGCTCCTCCCTTCCCACTCGGATGGTCAGCCTCCTGAATCCAGGACATGTGCTCTAATTTTCCACACAGCTTGCAAAGAATAAGTCCTGGAGATTTACAGTTTCTGAACACCTTGGGGGAAGGGCTATTTTTCAAAAGGTGGGTTCGCATAAACAAATAGTAAGCAACAGCCATGTCTTGCTTGTTTTAATTCTTGTCAGGGACTGCCGGAACCATGGATAAAATGGATCACTATTCTGTATTGTTAAGAAGTGTTAACTCCCCCTATCCCTCCCCTCACCCAACGAATCCAGGCCTGAGCACATTGGAGCCTGAAAACTTTCAGGATCGCTGCAAGTTCCGGCACAAAGCAGGAGGGTCCTTCAGGAAGCAATTCCCTAGGGACCCGTTCAGGTTATTGTGTACAGGCAGGGTGAGTTCCGGGCCTACTTCAAGGGCTTTAAGACTGCAGGCGAATTAACTGAGCTGAATCCCCAAATCCGGCCGTGACACAGTCACTGTAGCAGGCCCACTTCTGAGCTCTCTTCACAGTCTTTCCCTGAGCGAGATCCGGCGAATATTAAGTCGAGAAACCCGAAAGGGGCTGTGCCTCTTTTTTGACTTTAGCAAAGGGACCCCAGAAACCCAAACACGTCGAAAGGACTGAGCTGGCGTCTTCGGTCAAAAGTCCACCGATGACCTTCAGCAGGCAATCTTATGTTCCCCCAAACTTGGAGCAGCACGCTGGGGGACGCCGTGCTGCCTCAACCTCTCGCAGGGTGGCCCCAGGAAGAGCAGGTTAAATGGGTAGGACGAGGCACGTTCCCTCTGCTCCGGAGCAGCCGGCGAACTGGCCTAAAATAAAAAGGTCTCTGTCTGCAATCCCCGTTTGCTCGCCCGGTAATCCACCCCCGCCCCCAGCCCGCGCGCCGACCCGTACAGCTGTTTTTAATCCCTACTTTTCTCACTCGGCGTCCGGGCTGGGGCTGACCAGACGCGGAGCCACTTAGTGCTTCCTCCTCCCCCAACCCGGGTCTGTCCTGCCTCCGCCGTCTCCTCTTTCTCCGCCTGCATCCCCCGGGGGGCAGAGTGTGGGAAGAACGAATTTCCGCCGGGTTTGCGCGCTCCAGGCCGACATGGGTCCTTTCCGGACGCGGCTTGCGCGGCCCCCACGCTGCCCACCTCGGCTGCGCTCCGGGTCCCTCCGGGCCGCGAGCGGGCAGGCGCGGGAGACATGGGCCTAGGGGTCGGCGCTCCGCAGCCAAGCCGCACCCCGGCCGCTCTTGGAAGGGCTCCCGCCCGCAGTGGGGGAATCCGTTTGGCGGGGAGAATCCGCGCCAGGGAATCCAGCTCTCCGGACTCCAGAGCAAACAAAAAGCACCAAGACTTGCTCGCTCCTCCCGCCCCTGATGTGCACCCGAAGAAACAGTTTTCTGCAGAAATGCAACAAGTAGCACCCGGGGCTCGCCCAAAGCCCAGCTTCTCCTGATCTGTCTCCGCGAACTCGGCCTGCGGAGACCCGGGCCAGCCACCTGGACAAAGGGCGGAGGAAGGGCTGGACAGAGCAGCAGAGAAGTCCGAAAAGAGGCCTCTTAGCGACTTCGGCCGGGCCGAGGGGAATGCAGAGGAGACACAGAGCCAGCCGGCCCAGAGGACGATCCGGCCTCAGCGCGCTGGGCGGGCGGGGATGGCGGGTGTCGGCGCCCTGCGCTTCTGGCTCATGGTGTGCGGCTGCCTGGCGTTCCCGCCGCGGGCCGAGTCCGTGTGCCCCGAGCGCTGCGACTGCCAGCACCCCCAGCACCTCCTGTGCACCAACAGGGGGCTCCGCGCGGTGCCCAAGACCAGCTCGCTGCCTAGTCCCCAGGACGTGCTCACCTACAGCTTAGGCGGCAACTTCATCACCAACATCACCGCCTTCGACTTCCACCGCCTGGGGCAGCTGAGACGGCTAGATCTGCAGTACAACCAGATCCGCTCCCTGCACCCCAAGACCTTCGAGAAGCTCTCGCGACTGGAGGAGCTCTACCTGGGCAACAACCTCCTGCAGGCGCTCGCTCCCGGCACGCTGGCCCCGCTGCGCAAGTTGCGCATCCTTTACGCCAACGGGAACGAAATCAGCCGCCTGAGCCGCGGCTCCTTCGAGGGCCTGGAGAGTCTGGTCAAGCTCCGGCTGGACGGCAACGTGTTGGGAGCGCTGCCGGACGCAGTCTTCGCTCCCCTGGGCAACCTACTCTACCTACACTTGGAGTCTAACCGGATCCGCTTTTTGGGCAAGAACGCCTTCAGCCAGCTGGGCAAGCTTCGGTTCCTCAACCTCTCCGCCAACGAGCTGCAGCCCTCGCTGCGCCACGCGGCCACCTTCGTCCCCCTGCGCTCCCTCTCCACCCTCATCCTCTCCGCCAACAGCCTGCAGCACCTCGGCCCCCGAGTCTTCCAGCACCTGCCACGCCTGGGCCTGCTCTCGCTCAGCGGCAACCAGCTCACGCACCTCGCGCCGGAGGCCTTTTGGGGGCTGGAGGCCCTGCGCGAGCTGCACCTGGAAGGCAACCGGCTGAACCAGCTTCCCCTGGCCCTGCTGGAGCCCCTGCACAGCCTGGAGGCGCTAGACCTGAGCGGCAATGAGCTTTCCGCCCTGCACCCCGCCACCTTCGGCCACCAGGGCCGGCTGCGCGAGCTCAGCCTGCGCGACAACGCGCTCAGCGCCCTCTCCGGAGACATCTTCGCGGCCAGCCCGGCTCTCTACCGGCTCGATCTGGACGGCAACGGCTGGACCTGTGACTGCCGGCTGCGAGGTCTGAAGCGCTGGATGGGCGCCTGGCACTCTCAGGGTCGCCTCCTTACCGTCTTCGTGCAGTGCCGCCACCCCCCGGCCCTACGGGGCAAGTACCTGGATTACCTGGACGACCAACTGCTGCAGAACGGCTCCTGCGTGGATCCCTCAGCTTCCCCCACGGCAGGCGGGAGGCAGCGGCCGCCACCCACCACCGCGGGGAAGGGGACGACGCCCCCTGCGGGAGGGCTCTCGAGGGAGCTGCCACCCCAACCGCTGCCCCAGCAGCGGGGAAGACTTCTACCGGGAGCGGCCTGGAGTGGGGCCGCCAAGGAGCTGGTGGGCAACCGCAGCTCACTAAGGCTGAGCCGGCGGGGTCCAGGCCTGCAGCATCAGGGCGCCCCTGGCGCTGCCGCCTCAGGCCTTGCCCCACAGTCCCTGGACCTGCACGAGAAGCCGGAGCGAGGAGGTCCCACCCGGGCCCATCTGGCCCAGGCAGCTCCCACCCCGACGGCTGAGCCCGCCTCCGGGACCCCACCTGCCAGAGACAGCTGGCAGCGCGCCGCGAAGCAGCGCCTAGCCTCGGAGCAGCAGGAGCGCGCAGGCCAGGCCGACGGCGGGGTCGGCGCGCCACCGCTCGTGTCTGACCCCTGTGACTTCAACAAATTCATTCTGTGCAACCTGACGGTCGAGGCGGTGAGCGCCGACAGCGCCTCGGTGCGTTGGGCGGTTCGCGAGCACCGCAGTCCCCGGCCGCAGGGCGGCGCACGCTTCCGCCTGCTTTTCGACCGCTTTGGCCAGCAGCCCAAGTTCCAGCGCTTCGTCTACCTGCCCGAGCGCAGCGACTCGGCGACGCTGCACGAGCTGCGCGGGGACACCCCCTACCTCGTGTGCGTGGAAGGCGTGCTCGGGGGTCGAGTTTGCCCGGTGGCCCCCCGGGACCACTGCGCAGGCCTGGTAACCTTGCCAGAGGCGGGAGGCCGAGGCGGCGTCGACTACCAGCTCCTGACCTTGGTCCTGCTGGCGGTCAACGCGCTGCTGGTGCTCCTGGCTCTGGCGGCCTGGGGATCGCGGTGGCTGCGGAGGAAGCTGCGTGCCAGGCGGAAGGGAGGGGCCCCGGTTCACGTTCGCCACATGTACTCCACCCGACGGCCCCTGCGCTCCATGGGCACCGGTGTGTCCGCGGACTTCTCGGGTTTCCAGTCGCACCGGCCCCGTGCCACCGTGTGCGCGCTCAGCGAGGCGGACCTCATCGAGTTCCCCTGTGACCGCTTCATGGACAGCTCCGGCGGTGGGACCGGTGGCAGCTTGAGGCGGGACGACCACCTCTTGCAAAGATTTGCTGACTAGGCTCAGTGCCTCGTGGGTGTGGAAACGATCTCGGCCGCCTTGAGGAGCCACTCTCCGTGGTCTCATGCCATCTCAGAGAACAAGAGGAAGGACTTGTTCTCTTTGACCTGTTCTTTCTCTCTTCTGTGCATTTGCTGAGGCCAGTGGTTACTGAAAGGGAATCTGGATGCCACCTTTCCCATCCAGTACTCACAAAGCAAATGGGCGGTTCTTGGTGGACAAACCCCAAAGCGGGGACAAATGGATGATGGAGTAAAGGTGGGATCTTGTCTAGGGTATGGCTCCTGTGACATTTCAGCACAGTAACTGGGCCAGCCTTGGGCTAGAAAGGGTGCTTCACACTCCCGCCACGACCAGGAGATCCTGGTGTACACGCATTTGTTTGCTCTAAGGCAAACAGAGTTCTGTTTCTAGTTAAGGAAAAGGGGAGTTACCGCCATCACAAAGGGGCTCCAGCAATGACCCCACCGATCTGAGGGTCCCTGCCAAGATGGGCAGGGTAAATAGGTACCACCCTCGCCCAGGATCCCTTTTCTGTGGGCTGGTAGAGTACCCAAGAAGCCTCAAGGTTTAAATAACAAGAAGCTGCCTTTTTCAACAACATGAAGAGCATTTAACTGACCAATAAATTCAAAGACTTTTAATTGGACTGGGTTCCCTTCTACTGTTTGTCTAGTTCGGGAGATGACCTTTTGCTGACCTTTGGGTAACTGATACTGTTCTCAGGAGAAGGTAGCATGCAGTACTTCTCCACCAGGCTTGTTCACATGGTTTTAAAATTTATTTTTAAAAATCTATATACAGGAAAAATTGAATGCCAGATTTGATTAAAAAAAAAAAAAAGACAAGAATGCTATATGTATGTAGCCAATGACTCGCTGACTCCCTAGGGCAATCCAGCCTTCCAGATCAGTTACCACATTTCTGAAAGCGTGTCTAGAGGGGGATAAATGTGACCCACTCGTCACTGCATTTCATCAGTGCCCCGCCCTTCTTGGCAGCACCTATTTCTGAGTCGCACGGTCAGGCAATAAGATAGTTGTCAGACCAGGGGCCCACTTTTAGTGGTGCCATGTGCTCATGAGGCTCTGAGTTCATTCCCAGTACCACAAAACAAAGCAATAGGTGATTGTCCGTGAGCAGTGTAATCTCTGACCACATTACTGTTGTTCTTTCTAAGGAACAGAAGATGAGAAGAAGTGGGAAACAAATGTGAAAAATCAATACAGTAGTGAGTATGTGTTTCTACTAAACCCAGAAGATCATGAGTACTTAACTCTCACTGTGAAATAATTCTGTTTTACAAATTAATTCCTCTGGTAGCCATTGTTTTACTGGGTTATTAAATCTTATCTTTTAGTAGTAGTTGCAGTGTTTATTTTGTGTTTATATTTTTAAGTTTAGGATTAGCCTCCTGTGTTTGTTTAGTTGTGTTTTTAGATATTTGGGCTACTTCTCTTCCCTAATATTTATGAAGTCCAGTATTTATCATTAAATGCAGTGGTTGGGTTCACATTAATAATTCGTGTGTGGTCCAAATTCACTCGCTAAGAGGGTGTACACTGTGGTCACAGTCACCGTGGTTATGGATTTATTGGCAGTGGGGTTCTGTGCAGGCCAGCCAGTTCAAGGTGCTGTGGCTAACAGTGACTCTTCTGTTTCAGGCCTCGGGCCCCTGACGGTCCCAATGACTCAGGGAATCCATCACAGTTCAGGGCCCTTCAACCCAATCACTCTGTTTGACCTACATGAGCCATGCCTGCCTTGCCCCAGCAGCTGAAGACCCAGAGGTCTAAATGAGCTGGCCTTTGTTTATGTCCGGGATGAGTAAATGTCCAGACCACTTAAGCCACAGCTGCTTTTCTGGCAGTCTTATCTGCAGGGCCGAAACTTAATAAACCACAGGAAATAGACTGTCATTTTGTGTTTGCCGCCAGGTCTTGTTTAAGATTCAGAGCGTATGGTATGTGGGAGGTGGAGCTGTTCGCTCTTATTTTCAACCTGCAGGCTATCTGGCACCTTCTGTATAACTCACAATTTTTCATGCACAGCATGGTTGCATCTCTTGGCTGTTTCTTTTTTACACAGTGTAAAACCGAGGATCCTTGAAAGTCTGGAAGGGACCACTGAACCTGTTTCCCGCCTGCCTCTTTCAACTGTAGACTGTCACCAAAAATGTTTAATGCCTGGGCTTAGAACAGTTTCACTGAGGAGTCTTTCAGTGAGAAATGAATAAATGTTATACATTGTTATGTTCATTTATGTCAATAAACCCACATACTAATAGAGATGTCTTGTTGGAGCTTCCAAACGTTTTTGATACATGTTTAAAATAACAGAATGAGATCATCAACAGCAGTTTTCACTCATGTAACAAATATAAGCTTGATGTGCATGGGTTCTTTATTGTTTTCCTTTTTATGGAGAGTATGGGCTTTATCTTCAAGAAATGATCGTAAGGGTGTCTATGTAAAGAGCCAACGAACACACATCTGAAAGCAAATGGCCAGCCCAGAGCGGAAGGCTACCAAGGGATAGGAAAGTGTCAAGGTCTCAGCAGGTGTTCCTTCACAGCCACGCCCTCTGGATTTCATGAACACAGATTAAAGGGGCTCCCCTACCCCGTTAACAGAGTTAAAATGATAAAATTCCTGAAGGAAGAGAAAAATGAGCTTGATATGAGTTGCAGTGTTCAGTGCCCAAGCCACAGTTAGATCCAGTCTGTAGTGAGTCTTATACACTGCTTCTGCCAGGCAGGGATGTCCCAGTACTGCCAGGTGATAAGTAGGATGGTAGGATGTGGTCAGGGCAGCTTCAGCCATTTGCCACACTTTGGATTTTCACCAAAGGCCAACACCACTGGCTTTGTTGGCCTTTGGTGGCTTCACTATGTTAAAGCAACATAAAATGACACTGGCTTGTGTGTTCATAGTCAGTCACTCCTGCTTCTCTTTTCTAAGAGTTGGAGATAAATGACAGTAAACCATTTGAGTACCAAAGCCTTATTCATGACAGCCCATGACCCAGGATCAAGGCCTTCACCATCCCAAGAGGCCTATAGTGTGAAAGCGTATAACAAGGACAAGTGGTGAAGCCTCAGAGCCCGCAGAGGGTCACCATTGGTTTTTGTTGTTGTTGTTTTCCTCCTAGTCTCTTAGCGCTTCCACTTCTGCACCAGTTGTGACGAGCATCCTGGGAGCTGACTGCACATGCTCTGTGGTACCTAACAACAGCCAGCCGTAGCAGCAGTTGGTCCAACATGTGTTCAGTACTTATTAAGTACCTTGTTGGCAGCTGGATTCTCCTGCAGGAAACAGCAAGCTGTGCGTGCGAGGCTTTTTAGGAGTTCGGGACCAAGGCATTTCTGCTGAAACAGGATCAGGAAATCAGATAATGGGATTATAGCAATCCCTGCCCCTGCCTGCCCCCTTGTTCAGTTACTTGAGACTCTTCTATGATTTGGTGTAGAATGACAGTAATTGAAATACTTTCTCATAATTAAAAAAAAAAAAAAAAAAAAAAAAAAAACAAGTGAGTTAAACAGTCAAGAAATCTTTTGTGCTTTCATGAAATTCTTGGCATAATTTACTTCATCGTTTAGAGTAAGACTTACGGAGGCAGCTTGGTTCTCCAGTGGCTCTTTCCTGTCCCCTCATCCACAGCCTACCCAGGATACTTTTCCTCTCAGTCTGCTTTAATGTGTATTTTCATGCATGCATGCTTTTCTTTTGAGTAATTTCAGGCCGTTTCATCCTTAAATGGTGAGGCAAATAATACTCATTTCATGTTGCACAAGGAAACTGAACTCCTTGGACATTCCATGTAATCATTGATGGCTTAATTACTGAAATAATTGTGGGAGACTAATTAAAAAAGCCATCCTCTGATTGCTTTACCTTGAGACCTGATACCTGAACATTTGAGAGACTTATAGCCACAGGTAGCATGATTTGTCATTAACACAGCACCATGGTTTTGTGATTTGGCTGTGAAAACGGAAATTAGCTGGCATGTTCATCGTTTCAGACCACGTCATGCTCTGACTGTGCAAGCAGGCAGCATTTCTTTCAGCCTGCTGAGCTTCCCAGCACTAGCTTTGTGCTGCAGCCTATGGTAAGACAGGAGAGTGCTGTTGTGTACTGAAACCAGCTGCAGCTATGGAGCAGTCGTTTTCCTTCCCAGATTATGTTTGGGGTGAGGTCATGCTCGCTCAGTAGCTGGTGTCACACTTAGCTCTTAGCACATGTACACTGAGCAGAAAACACAATTTCACTGCAGGCCACCACCCTCTCATTCCCTCCTCCTCAGTTTATATCCCTAAGCCGTGTCCTCAGCCCCAGTTCCTGTTAGATGAATTGCTTTCTAGTCCAAGTTTAGACGCAATTGCCATGTGCTGGTCAAAAGATAACTTGCAAGAATTGGTTCTACCTTTCTGCCATGTGGGTCCGCCTCACAGGCCCTCTTCAGGGTTTTGCATTGGCATTTCTTCAGCCAACATACTGTTGATCTGTCTTTTCCAGGTTCTGGCTTGTGTATGTGTGAGCTGGATGTGCTTTGTTGTGTATTGTAGCTTTGTATGTGTATATGTGTGCTGAGAAAAGGAAGGCCTCTGTTTTCCTGGTTGCTCTGTGGTGCTCAGGGGCAGATTCTTTCTCTTCCTTGGGGGATGTTTATGGGACCTTTCACCTCTGCCCACTTGCTAGTCCCTCATTCCTCAACAAGCTTTCCAGGACTGCACACTCCGGCTTCTGCTGCCAAAGCTGTCGACTTCCGTCCTTTGCTCAGTGTGTTCTTATTTGAAGGGACTGAATAGACTTCCCCTCTAAGAAAGCTGTTTGCTTCTTGAAGACTCTTTCCTTCCTCTCTCAGCCTTCTCAGGTCTTGTTTTGTCACATCTTTTTCAACTTCTGAGTTACTACTGAAGACACACTCATATACACACACATACATATGCAAACACCCGTACGCTCACATATACACACTCATACATACACAACACTCACATATGCACCTACTTACATACACACACAATAACACATACATATATATACATATATACACACTAAAATGTAAATACACATTCTCACATATACACACACACATACTCAGCCAGACTTATAAACATATATGCAAACACACACTCACATATTCATATTCACATTCGCACACACACACACACACAAACACACACACACTAGTGGAGTCTGTTTTATGTTGGTCAACTATCCCTGGGCAGAAGTGTGGTTGATGTACCTAGTGACACTTCACTGAAGAAAACTCATTTTCCATTTCCTAGCAAGTGGCAAATAGCTCCTTGGTTATGGATAGGACTTTCTCTTCTCTGTCCTGGGATTTTGTCTGGTTCCAACCTGGATAGGTCTGTACCACAGTCTCTGTGAGTTCGTGTGTGCATTAATCCTGTTGTGTTAGACTATGCTGCTTCTTTGGAGTCATCTATCACCCCTGGTCCTTACTATCTTTTTGCCTTGTGTTCTGCATAGATCCCTGAGCCTTGAGGGGAGGGGTTTAATAAAGACATCTCATTTAGGACTGGATGCTCTAAAGCCTCTATCTATCTATCTATCTATCTATCTATCTATCTATCTATCTATCTATC